ATCATCCCAAAACTTTGATTTCTTTTGATTTCAACCCTGACTTATCAAAGTTTGTACATTTGTTCCATGATGACCAAAGATGATGAATTTAGTTCAAATCAAAGCCACTCTTTACACCTTGGAACTATTTTTACACAGAAAAGGCTCAATTTGATAAACTTGACATTTGAACACATTTTTTCTTCACAGAAACAAAAGTTTTAAGGCAACAAAGTTCAGTTTTAGACTCAAAGTTGAATATTTGTTCACACTTTAATATTTGAGTCATAAAAACACTTTCCCTCTAACTGTGCTTTCAAAAAGAAGAAGATTTGAAAAACAAGCAGCCACATTTGATCCTAAAAATGTTCATTTTTCTCAGAGTTATAGAAGAAGATCAATTCTTTCTATCATTTCTTTCATCTCTACGTCTGCAGGCTGCACATTACCCTCACACATGATCCCTTCATCCCAGCATCCTTTGCTCTTCTCTTCCTTCAGCCTCCTCTTCCTCCTCTATTACAGTAAACACATCAGGTTGGTACTAACTAACATCAGCTGTGTGTGATCCTGTACAGACTGAACTATCTGGTCAGCAGTGAGAAAGTTTCTCTCTCCCTCCTACAGAGGACACAGAGACACTGAGGAATCAAAGCTGTAAGGCCTGAACAACCTGAACCCGAACAACCTGAACCCAGGATAAAGAGGTTCAGTGAATGTGGTGTTGAAGGTGTGGAGGTGGATCAGTGTGTCAGAGGAGACTGTGTAGAAGGACAGAGTGCCAGCAGGACAGTCCACATACACTGCTACTCTACCGGAGGAGGAGGAGGAGGAGGAGGAGGAGGAGGAGGAGGAGATGGGTGTTTTTCTGTTATTGTGCCAGACAGAGTAACCATCATCAGAGCAGAACAGACTCCAGGACTGATCATTCTATCCAAACACACAGTCTTCACTGTTTCCTCTCCTGCTGATTCCTCTGTAACTCACTGATATATAAACTCTTCCTCTCCACTCGACCTCCCAGTAACAGCGACCAGTCAGACCATTTCTACACAGCAGCTGATCCCAGTAGTCAAATCTGTCTGGATGATCAGGATATGACTGAACCTCCTTCACATTAATTATCTTCCTGTTGTTGTCAGACAGTTTGATGTTTCTGCTCACTGTGTTTGTGTCGACTGTGAGTTCACAGGAATCTGATGGAGAGAACAAGACACAATACAGCTGCAGTTATTGATCTATCATCTGATCATTGATTGACACTTTGATGATGACATCAGAGCTGTGAATGAGTGATGTCACAGTGTGAAGATGGTTGAATGTGTGCTGCTTTGTTTTCACACTTACACTTCCTCAGACCTGGTCTCAACCATCGGACTCCAGCAGGCTCCACCCTGAAAGGAGGAGGGGGGTCAGAGCAGCATGGAAACATGGACATTACATCGCTCTCATACACAGAGGTTATTCTCTACAAATGGACTTACATCTTCACATGGAGCACTTATTATTAATCAGCTGATAGTCTTTCAGTTCAGTGGAGCTTCTTCTTATTGGCCGATGGCTACAGCTCATTATTTTCACTTATTGATGATCTATTATTATTATCAGTATTATATTTGTAACAGAATGTTTACATTGATTACCTTAAATTTATAAAAATAATGTAAATGTTAGACAGAAGTTATATGCTGAGTGTGTTTTAGAAATGCATTTATTTTTATAATCAAGTTTAACATTGGGAGGTGAATTGGTAAGAGATTTGTATACATATGGGTTTTTCCTGATATAAATAATGTGTTTCAGTTCATGTTGAGATGATTAAAAATACATAAGGGTGAAAATGAATGAGAGACATGATTGATTAGAGATAAGAGATAAGTTGTGTAACATGATTTATTAATACTGGTAAAAAAGGAAACAAAACACAATGATGTCTAAGCTTTTAAGGTCTCAGGATATAGTTCATCATTGCTTTTGTTATAAGTTACACTTGAGTTAAAGAGAGAGATGATACTGTACAGTAATTGATGAGAGATAATTGGTTTTTTGAGTTGCTGGATCTACATTCTGGGTTTCCTGTGGGATGCGAGGCAGGGTTAGAGAGTATCTGGAATTCTCCATCTTCATCATCTTCCTGAAGATAAGATCTGAACAAGCGTACAAACAAACACACACATTCTACCCGGGTAGCACATACACATTGAATACACTTGGACGGACATGGATACACACTAAGCTTTTGGACTGGACTTTGACCAACATTGATATCAGACAGCAATAAGCTGTAAAGAACCACTTTTACTTTCAGTTCTTTTATTTCTTTTATATATTGGAATGAATCTGAACTGTGATTCTACTTTTTGTTGATTGTGAAATTGTGTTTACCTTTTTACATTATTATTATTTACATTTACTCACTCCTTGAGTTGAACCTGAGTGCAGTAGTTACTTCTGTTATGAATTGGTGACATTGAACTGAATTGTTGTTTAGGTGACGCCTTTAGTTTTTCTGTTCTGTTGCCTGGATTGCTGTGTTTTTATGTAACCACAAGATGGCGCCTCAATTAGTAAAGCAAACACAGGTAACAATACAGGTGACACAGATGATGAGCTGATGACTGATAAATGTTATTCTATAGGATGAGTTAAGAGCAGTTGAATTTTGCTACTCTAATCTAACTCTAATTTGTACCCCAGGGCCGCTGGAAGTCATTTTGAACAGGGGGTGCTGTGAAAAAATTGTTTGGTATTTTTGGACAAAAAACCTATGAGCCTATAGGCCTATTTAAAATACATTTTAAAAATAAATTGAGATTCACTACTTTATTGTCATATACACTTCAGTGCACACAGCCAGGGTCTGTAACACTCAGACATCATCAGTTCTCAGATGAATATATGCGCTATTAATTAAACTTCACAATAACGCTATAACAATGCAATAGATTTGTTCAGCTGGCATGAACCTGAGTCACTGCACCATCTACGTTTATGTCACACGCGACTCTATTAACTCCAAAATCCTTTTACGCAAACCACAAGGAAATAATCTCTGACTATTTAAACGTTATTGAACAGTTCTCCACATCCATTACGCAAAGAACACACGATCAAAATAACACTCTCCATCTCCATCCTTTTTGATTACACGCACACTGGATAGCAACGTTGTTTGTTTAGTTCACAACCTCTGTCCAGTGGCGGATGATCAAAGTTGTGAAACTAACGTTAGTCCCTGTCAGAGCATATGAGCGGAGCGGGGAGCAAAAGGATTTTGTGTTGAGCGGCAATTTTTTTAAAGGTAGCTCCAGTCTTTGCACCTGCACGCGCACACCCACACTATTTTCTTTCAAAACTATGGAGTTTAATGTGTACTTCAGAAAAGAAACTGAGAAGTCGTACAAGTGTGCTATTCCTGTAAAAGTAACAGATGGGGATAATGTGGAACAAGAAAAAGGCGACATTGTTGAAGTCCTTTTTTTTTTTTTTTTGAGCGGAGTGGTGAGTGGAGCGGGATAAAATGTATGATGGAGCAGAACCAGGCATAGCGGATGAGCGTCTCTCTATCTCTCTTTTACATCTCCGTTTCTCTTTTTAATCCTCTCAGAATCCGGTAGGTTACCTCATACTCATCTCTAATAGACCCTGATTGGACAATGACAGGTTGACACCTGAATACTCTAATAAACAACAAAACATACAGCAGGAGGTGTTCAAGGACTGCTCAGAACACAGGAAAATTCAATATCTTGTAAAAAACATAGCAAATATACATTTCCCTGCATTAAACACAACTGATCTCACATCAGTAGTAATTTAGAATAGAATTTAAAATCCTCCTCCTCACCTACAAAGCTCTTCATGGTCAGGCCCCTTCATATCTTAAAGAGCTCATAGTACCCTATTACCCATCTAGAACACTACGTTCTTTGAATGCTGGGCTACTTGTGGTTCCTATAGTCTCTAAAAGTAGAACAGGAGCCAGAGCCTTCAGTTACCAAGCTCCTCTCCTGTGGAACCAGCTTCCAGTTGTGGTTCTGGAGGCAGACACCCTCTCCACATTCAAGAGTAGGCTTAAGACATTCCTCTTTGATAAAGCTTATAGTTAGGGCTGGATCAGGTGAGTCCTGAACCATCCCTTAGTTATGCTGCTATAGGCCTAGACTATCGGGGTATTTCCCATGATGCACTGAGCTCCTCTCTTCCTCTCTCTTTCTGCACTCATTCATGTCCCATTAATGCATGTTACTAACTTCACTTCTTCCCCGGAGTTCTTGTGCTTTCTCGTCTCGCAGGTTCTCATCGATCCTGGTGGAGCCTCAAAATTACTGATATTATTATTATTATTATTATTATCATTCTAATCTTATAATATATATTCTAAAATTATTATAGTTACTATTATTATTGTCCATCGTTGTTTTCATTGTCATCATCTTCATGTTCATCATCAGTTATTTCTAGTCTCTCTCTCTCTCTCTCTCTCTCTCTCTCTCTGTCTGTCTCTCTCTCTCTCTCTCTCTCTCTCTCTCTCTCTCTCTCTCTCTCTCTTCAGGGCGGAAAAGAAAGTTTTTCCTTGCCGCTGTCTCCAAGGTCTTGCTCATGGTGGGAACTGTTGGGTCTCTGTAAATAATGTTATAAGGAGTTCGGTCTAGACCTGCTCTATTTGAAAACTGTCCTGAGATAACTTCTGTTATGAATTGGTGACATACAAATAAAACTGAACTGAACTGAATTGTAGTTTAGGTGACGCCTTTAGTTTTTCTGGACTAAAAGGTAACACATGCTGATGGCAGATGACATCCATCAAAATATCCCAAACTATTTATGATATGAGCCCACAAACCTGCAGCGTGACAACATTGACAAATATCAACCCGCCATGATGCTCACCAACCCATCAGGATAAACCACTGTCCTATTTTCCAATGTTGAAACAAGACATCGGTCCAGAAAAACAGAAATTTCATCACCTTTTCTCTGTCACCTGACTACTACTACTGTATTGATCCGCCTCATACCTGAGAGTGTCCAGTCTCCACTGTGGATCCTCCAGTGCAGCAGACAGCTTTGTTGCTGAGTCTCCTGGATGATTGTAGCTCAGGTCCAGCTCTCTCAGATGGGAGGGGTTGGACCTCAGAGCTGAGACCAGAGAAGCACAACCTTCCTCTGTGATCAGACAGCCTGACAGCCTGCAAACACACAGAACAACACATTACATAACAAACATGTTCAAGGAAATAGACTCAAACTAGATAAACAAAACAATGTTAGGAAGATTACAATTGTATCCATCAACATAATTCAGGTTTAAAGTGGTTATCAGTTGAACAGGTTGACGAATACTGACCTGAGAGTTTCCAGTTTACAGTGTGGACTCTTCAGTCCAACAGAAAGCAGCTTCAGTCCTGAATCCTGCAGGTTGTTGTTACTCAGGTCCAGCTCTCTCAGATGGGAGGGGTTGGAGCTCAGAGCTGAGGCCAGAGAAGCACAACCTTCCTCTGTGATCAGACAGCCTGACAGCCTGAAAAACACAAACAAAACAAAATGTAGTCCAGTGTAAAAGTACAGGGGTTAAAACAAGTTAATTTGTAATACAAATAATTGTTTCAGTGAATTAAATAAATAATTCAGTATTGCAAATAAACTGAGAGCAATTTAGGTTAAAAGCAGTGAAAGATGAAATGTTAACCGATAGATTAACATAAATTCATAATAAATAAAGTAGAGTGTAAATAGTTCATTAAATAGTTACATTAAACTGTTCTGTATAGTAGCTGAAGAAAAGTGTGTGGTAAACTAAACATGAATTTTCAGATTTGTGTCATTGGTTCATGCTGTTTCATTTGATTGGTTGCTGCAGGTATCACTCAATGTCACCTGTTGGTAATTGGCCGTAGGTAAGGGAGTGAACAAAAAGGGGCGGGAGAATCGAGCCAAGAGGACGCCATTGCTGAACGGGAAGGACTGTTTCGTGCTTCCTGAGGAGGACTTTACTTCTGCTGCCGTTGGCTTTCATCTTCATCTCTTCATTAACTGTTTCTCCAGGACTTATTCCAGACCATGAGTTGGATTTTCTTTGTGACTGTTAATTGTCACTGAGGATAAGGTTTTGCCTGCCGCACCGCACCGAGCAACACAGGCCTTTTTTGTTTTTTTGTGTGCGTGTGTGTGTGTGAGAGATGTGTGGTGTGTGTGTGTGTGTGTGTGTGTGTGTGTGTGTGCCCACTGTTTTGTTAGAGTTCAGTTAAGTAGCATATTTGATCTGAGTTTCACATTACACTAATAAACATGTTCATTTAAGGAAAGAGACTCAAACTAAATAAACAAAAACAATGATTTAATTAATGGAGACAATGTTAGGAAGATTACAATTGTAACCATCAACATTATTCATATTTGGTTTAAAGTGGTTATCAGTTGAACAGGTTGACAAATTCTGACCTGAGAGTTTCCAGTTTACAGTGTGGACTCTTCAGTCCAACAGAAAGCAGCTTCAGTCCTGAATCCTGCAGGTTGTTGTTACTGAGGTCCAGCTCTCTCAGACTAGAGGACTGGGAGCTGAAAACTGAGGACAGAGCTTCACAGCTTCTCTCTGAGAGGTTACAGCCACTCAGTCTGTAGAGACAATGATCAACAATAAGAAAAATAACATTTGTGACCAGCACTTTATCACTCAGCCAAAACCAAAAACACTTTAAATTAGTTCTGTAAAAATGATATCAGCTAGTGAGGAGTTCCAAATGTTGGTGATATATAATGTCTTTATAATCTCTAAGTCGAAAAGATAGGAGAGTATTTAAGTGATAATACAGACATCCAACTATTTCTGTACTTACAGAGCTTTGTTGGAGGCTTTGACCACTGGCAGCAGCCTCAGAAGAGCCTCCTCTGAAGCAGAGTATTTCTTCAGGTCAAACACGTCCAGATCTTTTTCTGATGACAGTAAGATGAAGACCAGAGCTGACCATTGAGCAGGAGACAGTTTATCTGTGGAGAGACTTCCTGAACTCAGGGACTGTTGGATCTCCTCCACTAGAGAACGATCATTCAGTTCATTCAGACAGTGGAACAGATTGATGCTTCTCTCTGCAGAGAGATTCTTACTGATCTTCTTCTTGATGTACTGGACTGTTTCCTGATTGGTCTGTGAGCTACTTCCTGTCTGTGTCAGCAGACCTCGTAGGGAGATTCTGATTGGTCGGCAGTGAAAGGCCCAGGAGGAAGCGGAGAAACAAGTCCAGGTGTCCTTGTTGACTCTCTAAGGCCTTGTCCACAGCAGTCTGGTGGAGATATTTTAGATTTTCTTTGTCTTTAATTAATTCAGACAACTGGGATGTTGTTTGTTCTTCTGCCAGCAGATTGACTCCAGAGCTGATGAATGTCAGATGGACATGAAGAGCGGCCAGAAACTCCTGAACACTCAGATGGACGAAGCAAAAGACCTTGTCCTGGTACAGTCCTTTCTCCTCTTTAAAGATCTCTGTGAACACTCCTGAGTACACTGAGGCTGCTCTGATATCAATGCCACACTCTGTCAGGTCTGATTCATAGAAGATCAGGTTGCCTTTCTGCAGCTGCTCAAAAGCCAGTTTTCCCAGAGACTCAATCATCTTCCTGCTCTTTGGACTCCAGTGTGGATCTGTCTCAGCTCCTCCATCATACTTGATGGTCTTCACTTTGGACTGAACCACCAAGAAGTGGATGAACATCTCAGTCAGGGTCTTGGGCAGCTCTCCTCCCTCTGTGTTCTTCAACACATCCTCCAGAACTGTAGCAGTGATCCAGCAGAAGACTGGGATGTGGCACATGATGTGGACGCTTTGTGATGTCTTGATGTGGGAGATGATTCTACTGGCCTGCTCCTGATCTCTGAACCTCTTCCTGAAGTAGTCCTCCTTCTGTGGGTCAGTGAACCCTCTGACCTCTGTCACAATGTCAACACACTGAGGAGGGATCTGATTGGCTGCTGCAGGTCGTGTGGTTATCCAGAGGCGAGCAGAGGGAAGCAGTTTCCCTCTGATGAGGTTTGTCAGCAGCACACCCACTGAGGTGGACTCTGTAACATCAGTCAGGATCTCAGTGTTGTGGAAGTCCAGAGGAAGTCGACACTCATCCAGACCGTCAAAAATGAACACAACCTGAAACTCTTCAAACCTGCAGATTCCTGCTTCTTTGGTTTCAGTAAAGAAGTGATGAACAAGTTCCACCAAGCTGTACTTTTTCTCTTTCAGCACATTCAGCTCTCTGAAAGTGAATGGAAATGTGAACTGTATGTCCTGGTTGGCTTTGTCTTCAGCCCAGTCCAGAGTGAACTTCTGTGTTAAAACTGTTTTCCCAATGCCAGCCACTCCCTTTGTCATCACTGTTCTGATTGGTTCATCTCTTCCAGGTGAGGGTTTAAAGATGTCTTCTTGTCTGATTGTTGTTTCTGGTCTGTCTGGTTTCCTGGATGTGGTTTCAATCTGTCTGACCTCATGTTCATCATTGACCTCTGCAGTCCCTCCCTCTGTGATGTAGAGCTCTGTGTAGATCTGGTTCAGAAGGGTTGGGTTTCCTGCTTTAGCAATCCCCTCAAACACACACTGGAACTTCTTCTTCAGGTTAGATTTAAGTTCACGTCGGCACGCTGCAGCAACAGTTCCTGAATGAACAAAGAAGAAATGTAGTTAATAAGTAGAAGCTCCAATAAATCTGATGGATGTAAACTTTAAGACATCAAGATGGTATTTATTTTCCTCCCCCGTTAAATCTCTTCAGCTCATCAGTTGTAAACAGTTTCTGTTTTCAGTCCAGAAGAATTCAAAGATCTGATACAATGTGTGCATCATATTATCAGCAAAGTTTTAAAAGTAAACTTCTCCCATGTTGCCTCCATTTCCTCTTTCCATCATGTTCAATCTGTTAAAATCCTCTTACTGCTCTGTAGACAGTCAGCCAGCTCTTCCTGCTTCATTCTCCTCAGGAAGTGCACTGTGATCTTCAGAAATGCCTCTCTGCTGCTCCTCCTCTGCTCTTCATCCTCACCATCCAACACCTCCTCATCCTCCCTCTGACTCTCTGAGCATTCTGGGTAATCTGAACTCAGAACCTTCTGGATCTTCTTCAGCTCGTTCTTCACAAAAGTGACAATGTTGTCCTCCAGCAGCTGGAACAGAATATTATATGAATGACTCAATCAAAGTCAAATCATGGAAGCAAACATCAGATCCATGTTGGACAGACTGACAATCCACTGGTCTAAAAAGTGCAGCATGGAGATTATTGTGAACACAATAGATGTAAAAGTAGTTGTTGTCCATGTACAGACCATAAATATGGAGTCCAGATGTGTTTGATGCTGCTGGGCAGACTGACCACTGGGAACCTCTGAGCTCTCCTGGTCCACTCTGTGGAGGAATCATGAAGAATGAGCTCACATTATGTCTGTCCACACAGAGACAAACACAAGGTAAAGGTCCATGAAGTGATATTTGGATGTGAACAGTGAATCTGATGACTCCCTGTAGTGGTAAAGGTTTACTAGTCCTGCTGATCCCACTGAGAATCAACAGCTCAGTTTGGTTCAGTCCCTACAGCTCTCACCAACCCCTCCATATAGCTCTCCCTCCCTCAATGTACACTGCTGAAGTGCCCTGGAGCAAGGCACCTAGAGCCTCCAGCTGCTCCAGTGGAGCTGCTCAGTGTTTGCTTATATCAGACTGGTTGTACTGGGCAGCTCCCAGTGTGAATGTGTTTGATTGTGTGAGTGTGATGCAGCTGCTGCTGAAAGAGTGTTGGTGCTCAGAGAACTTCATCTGAGTCAGTAAAGGTTGAAAAACTGGAGATTTCACAACTGAGAGTCTGATAAAAACACATTATTTTATTTTTATCATCAGTTTGAAATCCTCACCTTTGATCAACAGAGTGGCGGCCATCGTTGAAGTTTATAGGATGATCCTTAGACCGATCACTCTTCATGGACACAAGCTGGGTTCAGGTTTTTCCTCCTGACAGAAAAACAGGATCAGTTCTGCACTGCACCCACAACACACTGAGACAGAACCAGTGACTGAATACACCGACTGTACACAGTGTATTTGTACCCAGGGAGTTCTTGGTTAGGATTTCTATAAAGTCAGTGTTTGATTTAGACATGTTTCACTGTGTATTTTAAAGCTGTATTCAGTGCAGTGTGCAGTATAGGCGGGGAAATGATGGAGTGGAGTGACCATATCGGTCCCATTAGGATAAACAGAGGAACAGACGTGGTGTCAAAGCAGTGAGTTTCTATAAACTGCTGCAACTATTTGTTCACTGTGAAACTGAGGCTGTTGTAAATTGAGCTGATCAGACACAAACCATCACCGTCCATTCAAAGACATTTTAAAACATTTAAAAATAGAGATTTCACAACTGAGAGTCTGATAAAAACATCCGTTTATTTTCACCATCAGTTTGAAATCCTCACCTTTGATCAACAGAATGGCCGCCATCTTTGAAGTACATACGATCATCCATAGAGCGATCACTCTTCATGGACACACAGCTGGGTTCAGGTTCAGGACAGTCTGGTCTCTGATGGATCCTGATAGAAAGAAATTCATTACAGCTCACATATTCAGAAACATTCTCACTGAATCAAAGACTTTGTGAACTGATGTATAATTTGAAATGTTTGAATACAGGGCTGGACAATAAGAACAATGTCTTCAATTACTGACATTATGGACGTGTTACTGAACACAATTTACTGATGTCACACACTTCAACACACTGTCTGAATTCCATATAATTAAAGTGAGAGCAGCTACAACATCTAACCAGTGAGCAATCAGCTCCCAGTCCAGAAGAGCAGAATGTGGAACTGGTCAGACTGGAATGAATCAGGACAAACATCAGCAGTGAGCAACATGAGGAAGGAAATCTGCTCTGATTGATTCAAACACATGTTACTGTTACATTTCTCATTATGAAGCTGAATGTTTCTCCTGATACTGATTTGAGATCAGATTGTCCAGCCCTGTTTGAATACTGACAGCTATGTACTTTAGCTCAGATAAATGTCTTTGTTTCAAATGGAGAATCAAAGCCTTTGTGACATGGAGAAGAGTCATGGACAGTTAGAGATCCTCATCTCACCTCTGAGCTTTGGTCCTTGTGTCATGTTCCCCACACAGAGTGCTTTTAGAGGGAGGGACTCCCTCCTCTCTGTCCTCACACTGATCCATAGCAGAGCCCACACCTTCACACAGACACAGCAACCTGCTGGGAGAGATCACACATTATTTCCCATCATTCCTCTCAGTCACATGACAAAAACACAGCTCTGATTGGAGGGATTAGTCGACTCGCAGCAACGTGAACTCAGAAATGTTGAGTACCAAAGTTTTATGTTAGAAATGTACAGTGTGGGTCCCCAGCATTTAGAAACTGACAGATTCCAACTCAAGCATCATTATTAGCATTAATAAGCATGTATGTATGTCTGTATGGAGAATATTTCAACAGATACTATAGTAGTGGTTTTGGGAGTTGCTGAGGATGATGGATCAAATTCTGACATTTACAAAATACAAAATTGCACTTTAATTTATTTTATTTGAACTCCAGGTTCACTAATATTGAGGTTATTTATA